TATAAATCAGGTGGAAGATACTTCAAAAGATAAATTATATCCAAAATGGTTGCAGCCACTCGTACATGGTCCAATGATAAAGGTTACCTCTTGGCCAATGTATTTTTGTCGAGGATATATATTTCACACATACGATCATGGAAAAGATAAAAGTAGTGCAAATTATGGAGTTTGTGTTAAGGGCATGACATCTTGTGGCTCAAGTGAAGAGCCTGACTTCTATGGGGTACTAAGAGAAATTTTTGAGCTTCATTACCCAGGACCAGTACATCTTAAAGTTGTACTTTTTAAATGTGATTGGTATGATTCAATCACTGAGAGAGGCATACGGATAAACAAGTCAGGGATTATCGATGTTAATGTCAGCAAACATCATGGTAAATATGATCCTTTTATTTTAGCTTCACAAGCAGATCAAGTATGTTATGTTCCATATCCAAGGATAAAGAAGAAAAAGGATCAAAACTGGAAAGCAACAATTGTGATACAACCAAGGGGAAAAGTATTAGTCAGCAAAAATTTGGATTTTACTGCAATGCAATACGAAAACGTTGATCCAATTGTTTGTGTTGATCCAGTGCACGTTGAGACACTAGCACATGTTCATGGTCAAGCAGAAGATCTTGATTATATGGAAGAGGAAGAAGAACATGGTTCAGAGGCTGAAGATGGAAATCCTGATATCGAAATAAGTGATGAAGAATCTGAGTGATTTTTTTTTTGTATTATATTTTGATTTTTAGTTTATTTTTGAATACAATAGGTTACTTATTTTATTAAAAATATACATGTCGGAGTTATTGGAATTTTTTATCATTAGAGGGATTCTGAAATTATAAAGACACAGCGTTGCCAAAAAAGAAAAGATACCGCCATAAAAGTTTGTCCAATCCCGGTAAATAATTAAGCTTATTTATTGATTAAATATTCTACTAAACCGTCAAAAGCCCTACAGTTCTCCTTAATATATAAGTAACCTCACAACTTGCCGTCAAAAGTATAGCACTAAAGAACTTTCTCACAGAAACTCTCTCTGGAAACTTTTCCTCTTCTCGGATCCAGTGGTAATCCAAGGTTTGTTTTCCATCACCGTCCATTCTTATTGTTTATGGGTTTCTTGTTTGTAATATATCATCCGGCAAAAAATAAGAGATTAGAAGATTAGAAGCTCGTTATCAATGTTCTGTGTTCTTAGATAAAAATATATTCTATAATGCAATTATATTTTATTCAAGGTCAGAAGCACTTTCAATCTTTTATTAATTATTAAAAAGAGAAATTGGATTGTTTTGTATTCTTGTCATTTAGATACGAACAGGAACTGATTATTTTAATTTTTCCCTGCTAGACATAATGGATCTAAATGGTGATGTTCCTGTACAACGTGATGTTCGTGTACTCCACCCAGCTAGACATAATGGAGCTAAATGGTATGCTTTTCCATTTTAATACACTTTTTAAGTATCAGTTTATAAGTAAATAATTTAGTTTCATATACAACAGGTTCAAAAACAACACTGAAGTATCAACTTGTGTCCGAAAGATCATTGAAGGTTGTTTTAGAGGACCATGGTATAGCTGGAAAAAAGTGCCACAGTTTTATAAAGATGCATGGTTTTCAACCTTTCAGGTGAGTTTTACAGTTTTTACATGTGTTAAATGATATCATTTTAACGTTTATATACTTATCTATTTGATATCATATACTTTGCAGACTAAATTTGAGTGGGATGCTACAATTGAAAATCTTGTTAAAGAAAACTTTGATCAACTTGCTGCTACCCGTCTCAAAGGAATGATTAGTCTTGCAAAGTCAAATGGAGTAAAACCTGATTGGATTTTGTCTGATTACTGGAAGGTAATGTCAGAGTACTGGAGAACATCAAAGGCCAAAGATAAAAGTGAGAAAGCTCGTGCTTCTCGTCTATCTAGACGTGATGGTTTAGGTGTACATCGACACAGAGCAGGCTCACGTTCTTATGCTAAAGTTCAGGATGTTTTGGTAATAATTATGCATCCTTTACTTTTTAAACCTTGCTAGTTTATCTTACTTTGTTTAATGCTGTTTTGTAGGAGGCAAACAATGAAGACTCTTCTTTCATTGCTGTGCTGAAAAAAACACACCAGAAATCTGATGGAACATATGTAGATGAAAGAGCTCGACTAATTGCTGAGAAGTTTGATGAATGTGTTCGAGAACGCTTGTCTGAAATGGAAAATTCTAATGGAGAGGATATGACGATAGACAATCTCACCCTTGAAGAGAAAAATGAAATCTATTCTAAGGTAAGAGCTTAAACTTTTATTCCACTTTTAATTTGTTTGTCCTAAAGTCTGAGTTTTTTTTTCTAAAGTCTGAGTTTTATACATGGTATTTTATTTTGTTGACCAAAAATGAAATACAGATTTTAGTTTCTTAGTTCTAAACATTGTGTTTTATTGCTTTTATGTGGTTATACATCTGGTATTTTACTTCTTGTAGATTGTTGGACCATCAAAACAAGGTCGTGTATTTGGACTTGGGTCACTCCAAAGAGGTGTTTTAATACCTTTAGAGTCTTCGGGTTCTCCGTTAGGTAATGCAGAAGTGGGAACAACTCATCGAGTGGAAGAGCTTGAAGCTGAATTGCAAAAGAGTCGTGATGAGTACGAAGTCCTGAAGAAACGAGTTGAAGCTGTGGAGTCTTTCTGCTTCAACACAAACTAGTTTGGCTTATGGTGCTATTTCTGGTTTTAGTTTTTGGTGTTATTTTGTTGGTTTTGTTGGTTTTGCTGGTTTTAAATTTTCTTTTTAAGTTTAAACTATATTTATGAATTTTTATTGTTATGGAATTTTTATTTTTGATAATTTGTCTTTCTCATATTTTGTTTTGGTAAAATAAATATCAAAAGCACGTAACATTTATAGAATATTTATAAAAGTAAAAAATATATGGATATATGAATATAACTCTGTAAAATTGTGACGAATGCATAACAAAATATAAGTATCTAATTAAGACTGATTTGTGACCAAATGCACGACCATTTGAATTAGGAAATCAGTAGCTAGTATGACGGAACTGTTACGAATGCTCAGTGACAATACATAACATATCTGCGACTGCAGATTAGTAGCAAAATTAGACTGTTTAGTGACTACCTATTAGTCCTTAATTGTGACGAATGGAGACTAATGTTTCGTCACACCGAGTTACGAAACGGAGACGGTCTAATGGTCACAAAAAATGACGGTTTTGTTACTTGATTATTAGTCAGTAATTGTGACTGTTTTGTCACTTCTCTGTACCGTCACGACTTGTGTCGGAATTGTTACGGTCTAAAAACGTCGCACAATTGTTACCCTTTTGCTACCAAAAAGATTTGTGACGATTGTATTGCAACCGTATACAAACGGTTACAATTACGTCACAATGTTTCTATTGTGACGAAATATATTTTATTGTGACGAAAAAATTCGTTACAATGCACACATTTTTTTGTAGTGATTCTTCCAATTTATACTCAAACTCTAAATTCTTTTATGATAATTCTTAATTTATTCTTAAGAAGATCATGATTATATATCATATTGAAATTAATCATCATTAGTCTATGTAAACATATAATGATATGTCAAAACTTAATAAGATAAAATAAAAAAAGAAAGAAGTAAGGATAACATCTATATCTCACCTACTTTTACGTTATTCTTCTTTTTTTAATACCAATCCTAGTGATTCTTTTCTATTGGCTAATAGAAGAAAGTGGGGATAACTTCCTTTTCAATATTAACCGTTGATGAATTTAATCTAAGGGACATAAACACTTGCTTATTTTTAATGGTTTTCTCTCTCTCTCTCTCTCTCTCTCTCTCTCTCTCTCTCTCTCTCTCTCTCTCTCTCTCTCTCTCTCTCTCNGAAACCCAGAAAAATTCTCCATCTTTTACGAAGGGCTCCACTTCTCACCTTGTTGGTTCATGTCTCGAGTCCAAGAGAATCTTCAATCAAAACACAATCTGACATCGACTAAGCCATCGAGTAAGTTCCTCACTGGGGCTCCAATTAGGGTAGTGAACGATGATGAAGAACTTTCCGCAATCTCTCTCTCTCCCTCTCTTCATTCTGATTTTGTTTCTGTTTATGGTAAAGGAGTTGATTAAAAGAATTTCGATGAAAGTTTGAATCTTTTTCTGTTTATGTTTTGAAAACTGGGTTTCAAAGATAAGAAGAGGATGAAGAACAGCAGGAGGTGGAAGCAGAAGAATAAAAAAGGACGGGGCAGTTTCATAGATGGAGTTGTGGTGGCGGATGAGGCAGAGCGGGGGAGGCGGTGCGGAGGAGTTAGGGATATTTGTTTGGGTTTTTTTAGATTTAGTTTTTAAACCTGGTTTGTATGTAAACCGGTTTAATTTGTAAACCGAAAACATTTGTAATCTGGTTTGTATGTAAACCGGTTTTATTATAATATTAATTTGAATGAATTTTTATTTTACAATTTTTTTATTATTTTCAAAATAAAAATATTAAATTAAATTTGTAATAAATGAAATGAAACAATTACATTTTAAAAATGCAATAAAAATTCAAATATTGCTATTGATAGAACACTACAATAGTAGTTAAAACATGCTATAGTAAAATTTTAAAACTGCTATAGTAAAAATATTATAATAACATTTTCGACACGCTATTAAAAAAAATTACAATTGCATAATCAAAAACGCTATTACTAAATTAATATCAATAGCGGCTACAAAAACCGCTATCTAATGGACCAGACCTATTATCGCGGGCGATGTTGGAGCGCTTTCTACAACGCTATGGTATCGTACGATAGCGATTTTCGGGTGCTGTTAAAACCCTTATTTCTTGTAGTGAGAACAATGAAAACAATAATTTATCTTGAAGTTTTAAACGGAAACTTGAAGAAGTAATATAAGTGATACTCGATGTTGGGGTTGTGAAAGAGGATTGTTAACTTTCTCTTGTCCATGCTAATAGCTTTAGACTGTGCTCCAATCACCCATGAGGGAATGAGGAAAGTTTCCACCTTGTGATGGTCATAAATAACTCACTATGGAGAGAAAACGTGTAATGTAAGGCAGCCATTCTGGAAGAGAAGAAGTAAAAACAGATTTCAAGTGAGAAATACTTGATCACAACTTTGGAGCAAACAAAGGGAAAAGAATCAGACTTTACATGGATCTAGCTCCTTGTTCTATTGGCAATATGAGTTTCATATTCGCTTGAGTACTACTACCATCTAAGAACAACATTCTTTTCTTGTTTGAGTTGTTCTCGATAGCCATAGTTTCATGCTTGGCTCTCTTCATACGAAGTGTCGTAAACCTGTTGTTCACAGCCTTATCCTTTAAATTTCTATAAACACAGAGAAATACAAAATATTAATAATTGATCCTACAATCATGACTTGAAGCACCATTAGAGCAGGTATTCTACTTGGCTGAAACCATCTATTCCTAAATCCTCGTTGTGCCTAAAATTCACACATAATCTCAAATATCACACATATAAACCCAAACACCAAATTTGAAATCCCCTATATATTATTTGTGAAGTGATTTTCCACATGTCCTTTCTACAATCATTTTAACAAATAAAATGATGACATGGCTACTAAGATTGATGACATGACTTATAGTTAAATATGACATGGAAAATTACATTTATTGTTGATATATATTTTTGGTAAACTTTATATACGACAATAACTGATACATTACATTTAATGTCGATTTATATTTTTGGTAAACTTCTTAAAATATGGTAATAACTCATAAATCAAATCATCACAAAAATAAATATATTTAAATATGCATTATAAGTTATTTAATTTTACTTTTATAATTATACAATTTTATTGCTAATATTTTCAAAATTTTCTACTTCTTTTTTTAAAAAATTGATAAATTTTTAATCGTTATCATTGGTTTCTTTTAGATATCGACAAATTTTATAAATATTTTTAGTTATAATTTTTAATAACTATACAATCTTATTATATAAAGAAGAGTTTTCTCTCTTTTCCAAGCTGCCACATCACTAAATAATGTCATGAGAATCTGCCATGTGTCATGTCCATAAAAAAAATCTACTTCATTTTTTGTTTTGAATGGGCTTTTATACAAGTGAATTATTTGTCCGAAAACGTAGAAAAGTTTGACCCGTTAGGCGCCTTCTTTTTGTAGCGTCAAGCCGACATCCATTTCTAGGGTTCTTCGTCCTCTAAGAAATCTGATTAATTCTACCATCAATGGAGTTTCTGAAATTTCAAGGAGATGGGTTTTCGTGAATAAATCATTGCAACTAAGTCGGTTCTTGCTGTGTTGTTTCCTTTCCGATTCATCTCCTTAAAAACGTTACAAGTTTCATTGATTCAACGTCATTAAGGAGATATTAACTCTTTCTATCCACTCTAACCACAATCACTCATTCAATGGTTCTTATCCCTCATCCAAGCTGTGGATCTCCACCTATAAAAAAAGGTAAGATCTCATCCTTTGGGAATTATACTCACATCTAGAATAGCATTCGAAATCTCTTTCTCAGTCTAATGGTAATTCCTCTGTTCTACTTGCTGATTTGAAGTCTGGATGCTCTTCCACCGTCAGTTGCTCAGATTTTGTAGAAACCGGTGGGGAGTTGATGGGTGTGGATATGCTCCTCCTTAACGCTCATGTATTTTGTTCCTAAACCTCATGAACAACTTAGTTTTGAAACAAATTCGGAGTATAATCTCAATATTTTGTATCCTATTTTTATTTTAAACTCTATCGGAGCATATTTTAATTCAGTTAATTGATCATCCGTCCTGCAGCTCATGTTAATATAATTGAATTGAAGTAAATCATGAAGAGGACTGTTTCCATTGGGGATGGTTTGCTTATTGTTTGTCTTATTTATTAATCACAAGAGAATAGTTGAATTTGCGAGTAGATTCTTTTGATGATCGCATACAAAAATATTTAAGAATCCACTGATTGTTTTAGACAAAGATGAATTCATGAAACCGGATATCACGAGCTGGACTGCTAATGAATATACTGTAAGTTCAAGAAATAGAAAAAATATTGTCCTTGCGTATTGGTTTCAAATCATTAATCTGCTTATTTGTTTGATATAGGTGTTGCTACCATGTTCTAACTTCAAGAAAATACAGACACATTCCATCTCCATGATAATGGGCAAAGAAGGAAGTTATATGGAGTACGGTCGAAGCACAAACAACCAACAAGGTGAGAATTGTTAATACCATAAATCTGTCTTCTCATATCTGAGATAATTTATGATGATATGTGTTAATATTTTTTGATAGGTGGTTGTTCACAGTAGAATGGAAATTTAGCATTTTATTGTAAGAAAGATCCAATTGTTTCAGATTACCTCTCTGGGGCTCCTTATAACCAGCAGATTGGTAATAACTGCAAAGGCAGTATCCTGAACTCAGAGATTCAAGATCATGCCAATTCCAGTACCTCCTTCCAAATCAGTGTTAGCACTTTTTGAACCACAAACAAAACCCTCTGTGTGGCAAGGAACTTCACTCTCATGGGCCCTGGTTAAGTCTACATTCTGACCAGAGCTTTGCTGAAGAGGCTGCCATACCGCCACCCATGTGTTTTGGAGCGAGCACAAATTTGCAATTAGAATACTACTGAGCTCTTTATTGATGATACCAACAATATCTATGATGCGGAGACTTATATGAGGTAATATTTTTGCAATCTTATTTTGCTTTGGTTTTGTGACTGTTCCTTGAAGCAAATAATGTTTCTTTGGACAACTCAATTTTTTTCTTGACTGGGATCATGCTGATGCAATTATCACTACAAGAAAACTAAGAATTTACTAGGAAAATTTACTAGGAAAATAATTCCTCGTAAATTTACTACGAACTTACTTCGGTTTTACGAGGAAAACAAGTTTCCTCGTAAAGTTACGAGAAAAAAGTTTTCCTCGTAAGACCGTAGTAAACTTACGAGGAAACTACGTGGAAAGAGACCATTTCCTCGTAATCTTGTAGTAAATGCTTTCCTCGTTAAGTCCTAGTAAATCTTTACTACGAAATTAGGAGGAAATAATCTTTTACTTCAAATTAGCGAGGAACTTGATAAAAAATATCTAATTTAAATCTAAAACGTGTTTTGTACCTACTTATCCTAGCAATTTCCTAGTAAATGCTCAGATTCAAAAATTTCTATAAGTACCACCATTTGTGATTCATTTCAAACACACCAAAAAAATCAGCTTTAAGCTTGATCAAAGATAAAAAAATGTCCGGTCCGGGAAATATTTTCGAGTTGCGGAAGTGGATGTATTCACACAGAGATAATAACGGGAGAGTGACGAAAGAATATCTCGAAGGGTTGGAGACGTTTATGCATCAAGCAGATTCTACACCACTCACGCAGGAAAGTGGTAAGATGTTTTGTCCTTGTCAGAAATGCTGCAATACAAAATTAGGCCCTCGTGAAAATGTTTGGAAGCATTTAATAAATAGAGGTTTCATGCCATATTATTATATTTGGTATCAACATGGAGAAGATGCTAGTTGTAGGAATGAAGGTAGCAGTAGTAATAGCAATTTTCAGGTTGAATTGGTTGATCATTTGCGTAATGAAAATAGCTATCATCACCAAGAGGAACAAATGGTAGATTGTGATAGGGTTCATGATATGGTAGGTGATGCATTTGTAACTCATGATGATGATGAAGTTGAAGAACCTAACTTAGATGCAAAATTTTTTTATGAAATGTTAGAAGCTGCGAATGAGCCAATTTATAGTGTTTGTAAAGAAGGTCTGTCTAAATTGTCGTTGGCTGCTAGAATAATGAGTATTAAAACCGATCACAATCTACCTGAAAATTGTATGGATGCATGGGCAGAATTGTTTAAATAGTATTTGCCAGAAGACAATGTGTCTGTTGAATCTTATTATCAGATTCATAAATTGGTATATAGTCTTGGGTTGCCCTCGGAGATGATAGACGTTTGCATCGACAACTGCATGATTTACTGGGGAGATGATGAGAAGTTAGAAGAATGTCTATTTTGTAAGAAGACACGATTCAAACCGCAGGGTCGAGGGCATAATAGGGTACCGTACTAAAGGATGTGGTACCTACCAATCACAGATATATTGAAAATATTGTACCAATCTGAGGAGACTGCTGGAGGGATGAGATGACATGCCGAGCATACTCAGACGGATGGAGAGATGACTCATCCATCAAAATGCAAGAGACTGGAAATATTTTAACAATGTACATCCACATTTCGCTAGCAATAGCCGGAATGTGTATCTTGGATTATGCACTGATGGATTTAGTCCATTTGGAATGTCTGGGAGACAATATTCATTATGGTCAGTCTTTCGTACACCGTATAACCTGCCACCGGAGATGTGCATGCGACGAGAGTTTCTATTCATGACCATATTAATACCTGGTCCAAAACATCCAAAAAGATCTCTCGACGTTTTTCTACAACCACTGATAAAAGAGTTGAAAGATTTGTGGTCAACAGTGGTGAGGACATGTGATTGTTCAACGAAAACAAACTTTACGATGCGAGCGATGCTTTTGTGGACCATAAGTGACTTTCTTGCATATGGGATGTTGTCTGAGTGGACTACAAATGGGAGATTAGCTTGTCCATATTGTAATAGAATGACAGATGCGTTTCAGTTGAAGCATGGTAGGAAGACTAGTTGGTTCGATTGTCACCGTCGATTTCTTCCCGTTTACCACCCATACCGAAGAAACAAGAAATTGTTCAGGCAAAAAAGGGTTGTCAGAGACACTCCTCCTCCATATTTAACTGGAGAACAAATCGAAGCGCAAATCGATTACTACGGTGCTCTAGAAATAGCTCCTCGTGGTGGGAATTGGCATGTTCCCAGTAATATGCCTGATTATTATGGTGTTCAGCACAATTGGCACAAAAATAGTATATTTTGGAAATTGCCGTATTGGAAAGATCTTCTTTTGTGCCACAACCTCGATGTGATGCATATAGAGAAGAAATTTTTTGAGAACATTGTGAACACTATATTGAATGTCCCAGGGAAGACGAAATACAACGTAAGATCGAGGTTGGACTTACCCGATATCTGCTCAAGTAGTGAGCTACATATTAAAAGCAATGGGCAAGTTCCAGTTCCAATATTCAGACTGTCATCAGAAAAAAAGTCTGCGTTGTTCAACTGGGTGGCTTCAGAAGTGAAGTTCCCTGATGGGTATGTTTCAAATCTCTCAAGATGTGTTGAGAAAGGGCAAAAGTTCTCCGAGATGAAGAGCCATGATTGTCATGTCTTTATGCAGCGACTACTTCCATTTGCATTTGCGGAGCTACTATCGGAAAAAGTACATGAAGCACTTTCAGGTAATTAATTAATTAATATAATACGATAATATGATTAATTGATTTCTTTATATATATATATATATATAT